AGCAAGAATAATCAATTATGGAGAATTCTAATAATTTCCAGACAAAGAAGTTCTAGGTTTAAATGTGCTTATGGAGAGAGAGAGAGAGAGAGAGAGAGAGAGAGAGAGAGAGATATTCCTTGCTTTATAGAGGTGATAAATGGGATCAATATTCAAAAATTCCATCTTTTCAGGTGGATAATTTGAAATGAGGTTTGTTCCTTCAGTTTTAACCACTCCATCCTGTACTAACCAAACCTCCCAAGAGTCATTTTACTAAAATAGAAGCAAAATGCTACCTATCTTACTCGCTTTTTATTCTAATTATGTGTCTGTGGCTTCTTTTTATTCATCTCACATACTATTATAAATAACTTGAGGATGGGAACACATTCTGTGCAGATCTCTCTAATCCGCAACTACCCCACAACCATATGCAATACCACTTACAAAACACTTAGTGGTGATTGTGCTAAACAGTAAACCAACTCACGTATGAAACACAAAAGCTGGCACTTCTTTTTTTTTTTTAAGATTTATTTACTTATACAAGAACTGGGGTATAGATCAGAGGCACGGGAGGGTGAGAGGATTCACCAGAGACAGAGCGGGGAGCAGAACAGGCAGACTGACTGAAATACAATGCCGAGGGGAGTAAGGGGGTGAGACAGGAGAGGTCTGCCGCGCCATGTGGGTTTCTCCAGGGCCGGCCAGGAATTGAACCAGCGCTGCAGATAGCTTCACAGGGCTGCGCTCAAACCGCTGTGCCACCGGGGAGGCCCAAAAGCTGGCACTTTTTAAAATATACGTTCAGACAATGTCAAATGTTAAGTGATGGAGGCTAAGAGTAGAAAATTTAGGATAGAGGCATCACAAGACCAGAAACTGGAGGTAAGGATAGAAATAATTAACATAGTTGTTAAACCAGCTATAAAAATGAAAAACCCTTAGGCCCCAACTGCCATAGCAAGTATCAGATGCTACCAATGTATCCAGGGGTGCAGACCAGAGGTGGGGTATGGAGATTAAGGGCCATTGTAAAGAGTCCCAGTTCCTTATAAAGCAGCCTAGTCACACCCCAGATGTAATTAACTTAACAATAGATAACAATTCCACAAAGGAATGAGCCCCTCCCAAAAAGACCACTACAACAGAACAATTTCTGCACTGGCAAGATACAGCTCTCCTGCCCGCCTGTGGCTATGCAGGTGCTTCTTCTTTTCACAAATCTTTTTCCTTTGCAAAACAGCAGCAGCAGCTCTTCCTGTCCACTTGTGTCTGTGCAAGCATCGTTACTTCTCCTTTCCTCTTTTATATAATAAACCTCCCCTTTTGAATATCACCAAAAGTCTTGGCCTCATGGGGAAATCTCAGTGTGCTGCTGCAAGGGGAAATCTGGTAAAACTTTCCTCAGGTAACACAATGACCTCACAGCTGAACCACACATCTCTCCAAAACAACTTTATCAAAGGAGAATTACAAAATATGAGAAATTAAAATGGCCCTTTCACTAATTAAAATAATTATTGCTAACAGCTTTTTTTTTAACTCAATAAGCTTGTTTTTCATCTTAAACCCCACCGTCACAGAAGCATGATGACCTGGGATAAGCAGCCTGGGGGCCTTAGTAACAACCTTTTGCTCAGCTCCTGGTTGCAACTTAGTCCCTGATAACCAATCTTAGATCATGTGCTGCCATTGTTATAGGGCAGCCCCAACACAAAACGGGGTGCCTGACTGTGGGTCCTCACCCGCACGCTTTAAAGGACTTATCAATACTCTACTGCAGGCACACGCGAAAGGTTAATAAAAGGTTTATTTACAAGGGAAGGGGAAATGAGGAAATGTACAGCTCAGGGAGAAAAGTGGGAGACAAAGTTTTAAATGAGTCCTACCCGATCCGCCGATCAGGAATCAGGAATCCCAAAATGGTGCTCTGAGAGCTGGCCGCAAGCCAGGAGCCATGAAGCCAGGAGGCGAGCCATAGCGAGCCCCCCCAAGGCCCACGTGTTTGGTTTTTATACCAACCCTAGCTGCCCAACTCCACCCTCAGGTCCCAGCCACCTTCCCTTTGGTGGTGACGGGATTTGTCTTTCCCAATGTCTTGATGACTTTGGTCTGGAGTCGGGGTGGAGTCCACAAAGCCTGTATGGGATTAGTGCAAGGCATCCCTTCCCCCTAACACCATGAGGCAGGATGGACCTGGGGGGTCCCATGACTACTGAACCTTCACTCATCCTTGGTATGCAACTATTCGACTTACCTCTCAGTATGCAGCCATGTCATATTTGAACATGAATAGCTGCCAATGCAAACCACCAACCCCCCCCCCCCCACCAACCCTGTAGAAACTGACAGGGTATATAAGCCCCTGACTTCCTACAGATGGACTCAGCTTTCGGATATGAATCCGCTGAGTCAGCACCCGGTGCATTAACCCTGCTTCTTGTTAGGCCTGCTGTCCATGTTTCCTTTGTGCCATACAACACCACCACCACTTACCAGAAAACGATTCCAAACTTTCTATGGCAGATTGTGGTCTTTCAGTTGGAAAGGTGGAAAACATAAGCCTCACGGTGTTTCCAGCCACTGAAGGGTCTCTGCGCCTGCGCTGGTGTCAGGAAGTAACTGGCCTTTTGCACAATTAGTAACAGGTGGTCCCCAGGAAAAGGGGAGGTTCCAGGTTCCCTGCCCCACCCAAGGGAGGGTGAAGCTGAGCAGGGAGGAGCAGAAGCTGAAGAGGAGACTGGGGAAGGAGAGAAGAGGGTGGAGAGCCAGAAGGAGACCAGGAAGGGCACATGGAGCAGAGAGACAAGTGAAGAAGCTGCCCTAGTTTGCTGGTTCTGGACTGGTTGAAACAGATGTGGATGAGAGACCCATGGGAAGGTTAACAGTGGCAGTTTTTATCCTGCTTTTGATTTTGCTCTTTTCCTTCCAGATTTTTCTGGCTGTTTCTGACCCTTTTCTATGGGTCCCCACCAGAAGGTGCTTTAGACTTGTGGCAGGCCTTCAGGCCTTGCTTTGGGCCAACCCTGTTTGACTGGACTTTTATGCACCAGAACATGGGTAACTTTGGGTTCTTGATTTATAAACTAGATTCTTCCCCATTTCTGTATTGCACACTATTTGTATTAAATTTCCTTACATTAATGGTCTTGTGCACTAGAGTATGTTTTGTCTTAATGTGGCGGATGGCAGAAACTATTTAGAATAGGGAGGTTTTGGGGTTCTGGGGTGCCCATCTCCCTGCCCTGTAACAAATTCTTCATCTTACTGGTCCCCAGTTCGGCACTTGTGCAGGGGACTCAGCGCTGAAATGGCCTGGCAGCCAGGAGAGGCCCACTGGCATGCGAAGCACTAAAGCCACAAAATAAAATGATGGAAAATTCACTGTCACCACTGCCAAAAAAAGCAATTGATGATTTTGTTCTTTTTGTTAACTCCCAATTTGGTTTTATATTGCATCTCGTGTGGACTTTTATTCCTGAACCTTAGCTAAATTCCCTAGGATGTACCTATTAGCCTCAAAAATATTAGTCAGGCACTGCCTGACTGCCTCCTTATTACTATAATAATTGACTATGTACTCTTATTTAGAATAAACATGATGAGCACCTCTCCACTCAACTCCATTCATACAATCACAGCTAAATGCAGAAAATCACCAGCAGTAAAAATACCATGGCATCTTGGCATTAAGAGATATTTCTATTAGTGAAGTAAACCACATTGTTTTTTTTTTTTCTTGTAGATAGAGAACTTTATACCAAAATCTGAAATATATAGATGGAAGAAAACATTTAATTGTAAAGAGAAGAAATGAAATGGAAGAGAATAAAGCAAAAAAATGAAAACTAATGGGGAAATTACTTTTCTACCCTTGGTTCCTTCTTACATGATTATTGTGCTGTTATTCTACAATTCTCTAACATGATAAAAAGCTTAGGGATGTAGTGTATCTTTTTTTTTTTTTTTTTTTGCTGTATCTTTAAAACCTGACATAGTTAGAGAATGTATATTTAAGTGGGTAAATAAATAATAAAATGTCATACAAGAAAAACAGAAAATGTACTAAAAACAACACTGTGGATATAATTATCTCAAAATATTAAAAAATCAGCTTCAATGTTAACTAAAATCATACTTTTTCAAATTTTTATTTAATGAAATCCATCATTTGTGCCTTTCAACTCTGGACTGCAGAAGTTTTAGAATTAACAATGGTATTTACAGCAAGAAAAAAAAACCCTAAACCTTTCAAGAGCAGTTCAGGCTGTATTTGGAGGTTTATCCTAACAGGATGCAATTTTATATATAAATGTTAAAAGGTTCTTCTCTAAACTTATTCCTCATAGAGAAAAACTCTTGAACAAAAAGCCTAATGCTAAATGGAGGCCCCAAGCTTCTAAATTGCTTTCATTAGTGAGAGGGACTCCTGGCACCTTGATACCTACTGTCACTACAATCTTGTAACTACAGGAACTAGCAGCCATGGGCACTGTGCAGGTCTGACGCCTGCAGCAAGTAACACGAAACCCCCGTGCTAATACTCACATTTGCACATGGGCTGGGTTCCATTCAGAAGATTGCCCTGGCCTCTTTAGAAATTGCAGTGTAAGCCAGGAAAATCAGCTCCAAAGATTAGGAACCTCTTCGCTTAAGGTGCCCCAGCTCAAGTGCTAATGGTTTGAGAAATTTCCATAACCACTCCCAGAAGAGACAGAAGACCTAAAGGCTCACAAAAGACTCAAGCAGGCTCCTCCGAGGAGACAAGTCAATTTCTACCCAACATTTCTACCCAACAGAAAAGCAAACGATCTGCTCAACACTGAGCTGCTTTACCCTCATTGTATGTAAATTATTCATTACCCCCCTTCTTTTGCATATTTTGCTCTCCCAGTTCGCAGTCTACTCCTTGCTTTCGCTGCCGAATTTTCTCTAAGCTACTTAGATTGCCTCCTGCTTTGCTCCCCTCAAGAACTTAAAAAGGAAACTTGTTTCACCAGCCAGATAATTGAATCATGTATTCCATTTCAACCTATGGAGAGTAAGGAAAGCTACTTTGTGAATTTCTTTAAATTCAGGGGTTTTTTTTTAGAAAGCACTTCCTTAAGTTACTCTGTTTTAAATCTTTAAACTACTTTTGCTCAGACAGCGAGCTAACGTTGCACGAACACGTGGGCTGTTACGAAAAACAGCATTTTTGCAGTCTGCATTTCTGCAGTCAGTGCTTCTACATGAACAGCAGGGGGCAATAGCACACCAAGAATTGTAAAAACTTTCAGTCTCCAAGAAACGAATAGCTGCAGCGGGTCTGTGCTCAGCGATGATCTCAGCTCTCAGACTAACTCTTTTGTTTTGTGCCCTATTTTACTATGCACTGTTCAGTTTTCTATACCAGTGGTATTTTACTCGGTGAAAACTCTAACAGCTTAGTTTAAGGAAAAGAAAGGTGAAGAAGGGAGAAGAAGAAAGTAAAGTTCTGCCAAATGAAATATATAAAGAGTAGAAAGTAATCCTGCTTATAGCTACAGTTGGTCCTCTCTCTGTTACCAACCACTTGAATCCTGAACATTGTTTTGCTGGACTACAACCTTAATTCACCTCTATGCTCCCTCCCATACACATCCATTTCATCCTACCTTCTCTGCCATAAAATTTTCTGTTACAACAAGAGATTTCTTTATAAAAAGAAAAAAAAAGTTTTAAGCCAAATACTTGACTTTTTAAAAGAATTCTAAAAGCTTCTAGGTCATGTTCTGGCCTTTAGACAAGCCTCCCAGTATAGGATTTTAACGTTTTGTTGCTTTTTGAATACTTATTAGTCAAGACACATTTCATTGAAGAGTTTCAATTAAATTCTTTCCCAATATATTTACATCTTCAGATAAACAGCAAAAAGCTATAGTAGTGCATCTATATCGCACACTTATGGGGGTGAAATATAAGGTAAAAACGAAAACATCAGAGGTTTGAAGAATATATTTAAGGATCATTTCCATTGCATTAGAAAGGTATTTAGTACTCCAGCACTAAAGTCAGCAGAAATAAAACTACTTTCATGCAAAATTTGAGTTGCACCCAAAAAGTAATACCTAAACATAAACCGAACGAAGCTTGAATTCCCAGTTATTAATGTATTCCCATTTAGTTATTTATGACTGTGGGATGGCAGAAGTAATGTTATTTCAACACCTCACACCAAGATTCCTCTTGAAGAAAATGTCTTATACCCTCCCTAAGACTGAACCTTAACTAATCCTTGAGACTTCTACCCTCTAGCCTATCTCCTGTGGTTCTCCTGCTCACACTGGCTAGTTTCACTAATCCCTGTTATTCTTTCCAAACACACCAGGTAATCTTGTACCTTAGAGCTTTTGACCTGCTTGTTCTGTCCCATCTGGATAAGTCTTACTTCACTTATTCAAATGACTCATTCCTTCACCCACTTCAAGAGTCTGTGCAAAAGTCATCTTCCGGTGAAGACTTCCCTGAACACCTATTTTAAAAGGAAAACTCCCCCCAACATACCCTATTGTTACAGGGCAGGGAGAGGGGCACCCCAGACCCGGCAAACCTGCCTGCTCTAAATAGGTTCTGCCATACGCCGCATCAACACAAAACATATGAGACTTTAATGGGAAGGAACTTTAATAAAACTAGGAAACAATACAGGAAAGGCAAAGAATCTAGTTTCTAAATCAAGCACCCAAAGTAACCCGTCCCCTCATGGGTAAAAGTCCACCTAAATGGAACTGGCCCAGAGCAAGGCCCCACAGCCTGCCACAAGTCCAAAGCACCTTTCAGTGGGGATCCACAGAAAAGAATCAGAAACAACCAGACAAGTCTGGAAGGAAAAGAGCAAAATCAAAATCAAGACAAAACCGCCATTGTCACCTCCCCACGGGTCTCTCACCCACATCTGTTTCAACCAGTCCACGACCAAAAAAGCAAGTGCAGTTTCTTGACGTGTCTCTCAGCAACACGTGCCTCCTGCAGGGCTCCTTCTGGCTCTCCATCCTGCTTCCTTCCTTCCTCAGTCTCCTCTGCAGCTTCTCTTCTCCCTGTTCAGCTACACCCTCCCTTGGGTGGGGTAGGAAACCTGGAACCCCTCCCTTTACTGGGGACCACCCTATTACACTATCACTCCTCTTCCTTATTTATTCTCTTTAATAACATTTATCATCATCAACTATGCTATATATTACCTATATAAATGTAATATGAGACTGTGACTCTTACTGTGTCAGAAAAAAAGCTATCAGACATTTGAGGCTATCAAATAAACACAAGGAACTATAAACAGGCAATATGAACTTTCAAATAAATAATCACTGCAGTTATATAAAAGTGTAAATAGAGACGTCAATGAGATCAATGAAAAATTCCTAGAAGCAATACAAGATTCAATATGGTAGCAAGATATAAAATGACAAAGAAATCAATACCTTCATATATTTAAGCAGTTAGCATTATAGGGAAAAGTAGAAGACATCACCCATTCACATTAAAACAAAGTGAAAAATACCCAAGAAATAAAGTTACCAAGAAATGTGCAAACTCTATAGGAGAAAACATAGTATGTGATCAGATTATCTGTGACCAAACATATCAACCAATAGAGAACTTAATCCTGCTGATTAAAAGGACAAAAAATATTAGTTGATCCCAAAGCAAAACCTAACTTAGTTCCATGCTGCATATAAATGACAAAGAAAAAGCTAAAACAAAATAATTCAGAAATGTTAACATGAAAGAATGGACATAATACACCAAGAAACATACAAATAAAAATAAAGAATTGAGGTTTTTGAAGTCCGATGAAGTGGAATCCAGACCAAACACCACTACCAAGACAAAGAGGACCTTATAATGCTAACGGCTACAATTCACAGTGAAATAAAATATTTATGAAAGATAAACAGCAAATAACAGCAGCTTCTTTCATATAGCAGAAAATACAAGAGAGTCAAAGAGAATAGAAATACATAAATAATAATAGACCTTAGTACACTTTCCTTAGTCCAAGACAAAAAGTTTTTCAAATATATTTGATAATTGACTTTTCTGAGGCTCAAAATGGGACTTGAATAAAAGGTAAAGTAAATCTTTCTCTTAAATAGAATAATGCAAAACCATAATGTGATAACCAAATTTTAACAAATATTTTTATGAGTTAGATTTCATAGTTTAAAGAGGAAACATAAAAAAGTAAGAATTTTAAAAACAAGAAAAACAGCAAAGTGGAAGGTCAACCCTACTAGATAGTGGAATAGATCACACAAATTCTGTAATTAAAGCAGTAAAACATAAATGCATAAGTAGACAAGCATATTTTTGGCAAAAAGTTAAAGTACAGAACTACGTATAATATGGAAATCTATGTATGGGAAAACAGTGGTATCTCAAATCCTGGGAGAAAAAAGGGCTTTTAAAATTAAATGGTTTTAGAACAGATAATACTTTGAAAACATAAAATTGGATGTAACATCACCTAGGTGGAATTACAGCCTAAACAAATCCAAAAATACTCAATGTGAATTTTATAATGAAACATCAATTAGATATCCAAACTGAAGTATCTTCTGAAAAAATCACCGGCCTGAACTTTCCAAAAACATCAACTCCAGAAAAAAACAAAAAGATTTGAGAAGGTGTTCAGATTGAAGGAACCTAAAGAGGCTTGATATCTAAAATACTATGTGATCCAGTTAAATCCTGCATTTATGTTTTGCAAACAATCCAGTAAACAATGATTTAGGAGGACCAATTGTAACAGGGTGGTCCACAGGAAAGGGGGAGGTTCCAGGTTTCCTGCCCCACCCAAGGGAGGGTGGAGCTGAACAGGGAGAGAAGAAGCTGCAGAGACTGAGGAAGGAAGGAAGCAGGATGGAGAGCCAGAAGGAGCCCTGCAGGAGGCACATGGAGCTGAGAGACACATGAAGAAACTGCACTTGCCTTTTGGTCGTGGACTGGGTGACACAGATGTGGGTGAGAGACCCGTGGGGAGGTGACAATGGCGGTTTTTGTCTTGATTTTGATTTTGCTCGTTTCCTTCCAGACTTGTCTGGTTGTTTCTGATCCTTTTCTGTGGGTCCCCACTGGAAGATGCTTTAGACTTGTGGCAGGCTGTGGGGCCTTGCTCTGGGCCAGTTCCATTTAGGTGGACTTTTACCCATGAGGGGACGGGAAACTTTGGGTGCTTGATTTAGAAACTATATCCTTTGCTTTCCTGTATTGTTTCCTAATTGTATTAAAGTTCCTTTCCATTAAAGTCTCATATGTTTTGTGTTGATGTGGCGGATGGCAGACCCCATTTAGAGCAGGCAGGTTTGCCAGGTCTGGGATGCCCCTCTCCCTGCCCTGTAACACATCCAGGACATTAGAATGTGGGTTACATGTACTAGAATGACAGTAAATTACCAATGTTTAGTGTGAATTCCGACTTTCTACATCTGAAAAGTCTACCAATACTTTCAGGACCGACTCTGCATCGGATTCCCATAGGACAGTAGTCCTCCCCTTGGGGCGATTTTGCGCACCTCTTCCCCACTTTCCCTACACCACAAACACCTTTGTATCTAGAAATGTCCTTTTGGTCATTACACCTGGGGGTTGCTACCGGAATCCAGCGTTTAGTGGCCAGGGGTGCTGGCCATCCTCGTACAGCACACACTGGAGAGCTCCCCTCCCTGCACAACAAAGAATCATCCTGCCCCAAATAGTAATAGCGCCCGGGTTGAAAATTCCTGCGGCAGGCGAATCCTTCATCTCAGGATTGGATGAAATTATCTTTTGCGCAGGTCTAATATTGGTAACCTGTAAGGGTGAAAGGTTTTGATGTCAACAACAAACTCTCAGATTGCTCAGCGAACAGCACCGAACATGCCCTTCAGCCCGGCTTCCCTCGGGGTTGGGGAGCCCGGGGCAAGGGGGGGTCGCGCTGCCCGCCCGGTGGGGAGCCCCCCGCGGAGCCTGCGCGCTGGCGGGAGGGTGTGGCAGTCGCTGCGCATGCGCGGGCCCGCTGCACACTCACTGTTGTCCTGAAGTTACAACCTGCCCGCCTCCCGGTGCAGCTGCCCGCGGCCGGGAAGCGCAAAGAACACTCTCCCCGGATTGGGGAACGGGGCTCGTTTGGCTTCTGCAGTAGTGACAACGATACTTTCTCGGTTGAAGTCCAGAACCCGCCTCCGTTGCATACCGCTGACCACCGAATAGCTTGTTTTGGAGCCCTCTGCCGAGAGAGCCCGCGCTGGGTGGGCTCGCGGTGCACGGTCATCGCCTCCAGCTGGATTCGCCGGAGGTGAGTTTTCACACTTTCTTTAGTGTGTTCTGACTTCCTGTGTGTGAGGAGCCCGGGCAGTAAGTTCTCCATCTCGTGATGCCTCGAACCAAAAGTCCTGCAGACTCCTCCCGCACCGCCCCCGCCCCGGACTGCCCACCCCCCAGCCCAGCGCTTTTACCCAGGTAGCCTTTTTAAATGCCTTCAATATTTTTTTTCAGTCTAGACTCTCTTAAGGAGTGAGCAGAGTTTGCCTTTAAAGAGTCAAATAGGGTGTATTTTAGGATTTCCGGGTCAGGAACGGTCTCTGTAGCGTGTTCCTCTTTGTTTTTACAATTTGGAAAAAATGGAAAACCATTCTTAGCCGCTGGCCTTGCAAAACCTTGCGGATTGCAATGATCAGGCTGTGACCATTCACTTTGCCCAGCACAGAAACGAGCTTCCATCGAGCCCCCACCCCTTCCCAGTTCTGACCTCAGTCCCACCACATCAGTGGACACCATCCGTCCAGGATTAGCTCAGTCTTTTGGGTCCCTACACCTGCTCTCTGTGCCTTTACCCTACTGGCTGGTGAAGAGTTCTACAAAGCCCCCAGGACACCCCCCGCCCCTCGCAGACCAGTAAGTGGCTATATCCTCCTTTTCTCTAAAATGGCAGTCACTTCCTATCTGGGAGCAAAACCCCAAGTTCCTACATCTTGAGCAAATTAGTATAAAGTTAACATAGGAGTGTCTCAGGCAATTGCATTTTTATAGCATTTTTTTTCATAGTGACAGTAACTTGGAAAATATTAAAAAGTGTATAGAAAAAAAAGAATATTCTCCATAATCCCAACCCACAAAAATTAACTATTAAACTGTTTATGTATCCTTGTAAGTCCTTTTTTCAAAATAACAGGAAAAATTACTGGACAAATAGATTTTTTAAAATATTTCCTAATAAACTTGTTTAAGTGAGAAATGCACAAAAGTATGTCAACTATAAACGTAGAGTTCAGTAAAGTTTCAAAAACTAACACAACCTACCCTTGCAGCCACCACTTAGAAATAGAGCATTCCTGGCATCCTTCATCCCCCTGCACAGTCAGGGGCAACTTCTCCCCACATATATCCTCTTCTTACCTTCAAATGAATAGATTAGTTACGTCTGTCCTTCAATTCCACATGAAATGAATGATTTTTGTAAATAGTCTATGTGATTTAATTTCTTTCACCCCATGTTGTATTTGAGATTCAGCCATGCTGTTACATGTGACAATCTTTTTTTATAAATTTTACTTTATTCTCTGTAGCATTCAGTTATGTCAAGTCAGCAATTTATTGATCCTTTATGTGGTTATTTTTTATTTCAATTTGTATAATTCACATTCCACCCAGTTCATCTACTTACAGTGTATGAGTCAATGTTTCTAGTATATTCGCAGATAGGTGCAATCATCAGTATCACCAATTTTAGAACATTTATATCACCTCAACACAATACCATACCTTTAGCTGTCATCCTAATCAAATCCCCTGTGCTTTACAGCCTTAAGCAACTACTATTCTACTTTCTATCTCTATAGATTTGCCTTTCTCTTCTGGACATGTCATAAAGATGGAATCAACAAATATGGGGTATTTTGTGACTGCTGCCTTATACTGATATTGGAAAATCATGTTATTTCTAGCTGTGGTGCTATTAGAAATAATACTCCTGTCAACATTATACCTATCCATATATTATTTGTGTCTATGATACATCTTTCTGCTGGGATAGATGCCTAAAGGTAGAACAGCTTAGACATAGGTTATGTTTATATTAGCTATGATTGATAGTACTAAATAGTTTTTCAAATTTACATTACCACTAGCATTGTATGAGAGTTTTCATTGCTCCACTGCCTCACCAACATTTGGTGTGGTTTCAATTTCCATTTATCTGAAGACTAATGAAAAAGAGCTGATTTTCAACTGATTTATTAGTCATTAGACTATCCTCTTTAGTGAAGCACCTTTGGATCTTTCCATTTTCTACTGGATTCTTTTTCAACTTATGTATTTGGTTTGCTTTTTAACTATCTCATTGTTAAATGTTAAATGAATGCAAATTTCTAGTGTTTAGCGAAGTCTAATTGATTATTCTTCCTTTGTGGTTAGTGGTTTTGCTATCCTATTTTAGAAATCATTGTCTAAAAAGATCTCATCTGTTACCAAAAACAGTGTCTTTTTCTTTGAACATTTGTATCTACTAACCACATAGGATTGGCTTTGGAATAGTGGAAGAAGTTAAGGGTTAAATTTCTTTAATATAGTTATCCAGTTGACCCAGGTATTGTTCTTGAAAGATCCTCCTTTTCCCTCTTCTCTGCAGTGTCACCTTTGTCATAATTCAGTGCAAATATAAGTCATTGTAGATATTGAAATCAATAAACAAGAACTTTAAAGTAACCATAAGAACATATTAAGGAATCTTACTAGAGGTAAGATATGATTGATGGAGAGATGGGAATATTATCTATTGTCAATAGAGATATGGATAGGGCCTCCCTGGTGGCACAGCGGTTGAGCACTGGGTTGCGAAGCTGCCCGCAGCCTCTGCAGCGCCGGTTCGATCCCTGGCTGCCGGGCGAGGGTCCCACATGGCACGCAGACCTCCCCTGCCACCCACTGCTCCCCTCAGCAGTGCACTTCGTCAGTCTGCCTGTTCCGCTCTCTGCTCTGGCTCTGGTGAACTCTCTCACCCTCCCATGCTTCTGACTGTATCCCAATCCTTGTATAAATAAATAATAATAAAAAAGAGATATGGATAATATTTTTTAAATAGATGAAACAGAATCCTAGAACTGGAAAATACATTACTTGAAGTTATTTGATGGGATTATTAGTAGGCTAGATACAGAAGGGGAAAGGAACATTAAGCTTGAAGATAGATGAATAAAAATCATGCAAATTTAAATACACTGAGGGGCCTCCCTGGTAGCATAGGGCTTAAGTCTCAGCGCTATCACACTATCATAGCTGTGGTCTGAGTTCAATGCCCAGCCAGGGAGCTAACCCATATATGGCACAGCAGACCTCTCCTGTCTTGCCCACTCTTCCCTTTAACATTATATTTCAGTAGATCCACCTGTTCTGCTCCCCTCTCTGTCTGTGGTGTATCCTCTCACCCCCCCACACCTCTGGCTTACACCCCAGTTCTGTGCTTAAAAAAAGCTTTTTTAAAAAACAAATTTAAATACACTGAGAAAAAATGTTTTAAATAACAAAGCCTCAGTGATTTATTTAGTAATATCAAGTAATCTAATATACATGAAAATGATCTCCTACAGGCAAAATGAAAAAGTGTGGGACAGAAAAATATTTGAAAGAGTATTAGCAAACACTTTCCAAACTTAAATAAATGTATTTTATCAAGGTTGTTTGGTTGTCAGTAGAGAGTTGATTCTAATTACCTAGCTTGCATGAATGGAATTTAGAAGTTAATATAAATAATTATAAACCTTTATATCTGCATGTATAAACAACAGGGCATTTTAAAGTCACATAAAATCTGAAAAAAATACCGTGTTGGTTGGAATTGCATCACTGTACTTTTTTAACACGAATGTTGCCCTCACTAAAGACTAGTAGTATCACAGCTTTTCAAAATATCCCCTCAATGCATTGTATGGCTTGCATGGATGACCTTTCTGACCTCTCCTTTTTTAATATCATTTTTTAATTAATGTAACATTGGCTTACAACATTCAAAATTATTTAGGGGTAAATGTTCATCCCTCTTCAGATGTATGTTACCACACTACACCCACCATCAAAGACCCATAATTCTCTACCATAGTCTATTAGGCCCCTCCCCCACTTTGCTTCCCTCTCCCCTCTGTCCCTTTCTGATAGCCGCAATTCTATAGTCAGATTTCTACGGTTTCTTTTGGCTTAGTTTTGTCTGTTCCTTCCCTTTGTTTTCTTTGCATGCCACAGATAAGAGAAATTATCCAGTATTTGTCTTTCTCCTTCTGACTTGTTTTGCTTGGTAAAATTCCCTCCAATCCCATCCATGTTGTTGCAAATGGCAGGATATGTTCATCTTTTTTATAGCTGTGTAGTATTCCATTGTGTTTATATACCACCTCTTTATCCACTGATCTGTCATTGGGTACTTGGGTTGTTTCTATAACTTGGCTATTGTAAATAGAGCAGCAATGAACATAGGAATGCATATGGCCCTTCAAATTAGTGCTTTCATACTCTTGGGGTAGATACCTAGGACTGGAATTGCTGGGTCATGTGATAGATCTATTTTAATACTTTAGAAACCTCCATACTGTATTCCACAGGGGCTGACCAGTCTACATTCCCACCAGTAGTGTACGAAGTTTCCTTTTTCTTCACACCCTCAACAACACATGTTGTTTCTGGTCTTTTTGATATGTGCCATTCTCACAGTATAATTTCATCTTCAGATGCTGGCATGACTCAAACCTTACTGGCTTCTTTCCATTTCAGGGCTTCTAGGATTATTTCTTCCTCTTCCTGAATGTTCCTCCCTCAAATATCCTGACTCTCTTCTTCTCAGATCTTTATTCGAATGTCATTTTCTCAATTAGATTAAGTGAAAACAAAAATCTTCCCCCATCCCCACCATGTTTTATCTATACCCTTTAATGGAAATGCTGTATATTTTCATTATTTAACTTCCTATTAGTGTTGTTTTTCCTACCACTAGAATAAAAGTACCCAGTGAGGGATGACGGAAATTTACCAGTTTTGTTCTTTGTAGTGTCTTTTATACCTTGAATGACAAACAATTATAATTAACTTTTTTTTTTTCATGACTGACAATGTGGATAATCTCTCTTTTTTTTTTTTAACATTTATTTATTTATTTATACAAGCACTTCGTACAGTCAGAAGCTTGGGAGGGCGAGAGAATTCACCAGAGTCAGAGCAGAGAGCAGAAAAGGCAGACTGACGAAGTACACTGCTGAGGGGAGCAGCGGGCGGCAGGAGAGGTCTGCGCGCCATGTGGGACCTTCGCCCGGTGGCCAGGGATCGAACCGGCACTGTAAAGGCTGTGGACAGTTTCGCAACCCAGCGCTCAACCGCTGCGCCACCGGGGAGGCCCAAGATAATCTCTTTTTTAACCTAATAACCCTATCAAGGCATTTCTTCATTTTTTCAATAGATATGAAAGTCCTCATAGTATTCCAGCATTTTTATATTTTTAAGGTATATTTAAGTTTCTTGGCAAAAAGGATTATAGCAGTAAAAGCTCCAGCTTTTACCAAGGAGAATAAGAAATGGGATAGGATTGTTTGCAAAGCAACCATAGGCTTTGCCTTAGTAAATAGACTGAAAATTTCCTTTAACAGACCAAATTGCTCAGACCCCCCTCATAAAGAAAACTACTTAGTGCTATAATCACAAAGAAATTCCCCTATTCAGTTACAAGCTAATTTATATCAACTTTTTCTCTTTAGGCGGTCAGGCTTCAGGATGGACGATGGACTTTCAAAATGGAAAAAGATGGAAAATCAACAAAATTACCTTAACTGTGCTACCAGCTGAATGAGTATTTCTTTGTAGTATGTTCAGACTTAAGAAGAATTATATTCTTACATTATGTAATCTACCAAAAACCACTTAGCTACTGTTTTAATCTAGGTTATTTTCGAAGGCAGAGCCTGAGACAAAGCTATACACATTTTTGGGGGGAAGATGATCCCAAGGCACAGGAATGAGAGAAGAGTGAACAGGGAAAGAAGGAAAGAAAATCCAAGCAAAATAAGGTAGCGTTACCCAATGGCCTAACACTGTTAATGGTTACTTAGTGCAGAAGCGTCTGAAGATTCTCATTAAACTTTGTCTAGAGATGAAAAGGAGAAGCATTTATCTCTCAGTGGCCTGTAGATTGCAAAGACATCAGCGCATCTCTGGTACCAGAGGATTGTGTGTCACAGAGAGAGAAGCCCTGAGACAGGGAGTTAGGTTCTTAGCCCTTGCCTGAAATAAGGCACTGTTATCACCGAGCAGGGTGAAACCTGCCCCGGGCTGTTCACCAGAGCTGGAGGTTGAGGAGATGGGAGAGAATGTATAAGAAATGCCTTATAAGCCTCTGGATATGTTGTTAGCCTTATGTAAGTCTGTTTACTCCCTTCTTGTCGAATCAAAATTTCTGTGGCCAGAAGAGGTTACACAAGGATTAAGTAAAAAAGTTAAATCTATTAGAATATATACCTTATAGTTTTATATAGATATATAAAAAATTTTTATAGTTTTATATAGAATATATACCTAACAGTTTTAACCATGAGTGGTGTTTATAAGAAATAGAAAGTAACATGAGAACTTGGAAAATTAAAAAATAATTTTACATGAAAAATGGGGCCATTGGATAGAGATACCAGGTATCTTCTAAACTCAACCTCAGAAACAATCATGAATTGTTTGTAGAAAAATGGAGAAATAAAATTAACTATTTTCTTGTGTTTCTGTGCGCTTTATAAATCAAATGTCATTACCTTTTCCTAACTTAGTGTTTCTACTGTCACCCAATGCTAGGATACAGAGTTTACAACCATGGAAGGGAAAATTGGTAGAAACACAGAAGAATATTTCAGATAATTTCAGAGCTGGCGTTAATATTGGTTGAATTACGGGAAAATTGCAGGCTTTGACCTGGAGTTCCTCTATGAGGTTTCCTTATATCAGAAACCGTTTTCTCTCTGCCTACACCCCTGTGATGTCATAATCACTCTCTTTTATGGAATTGCCACTAATAAGATAAAACCTTTGAGTTGTTCAGTTGAATGTGTGCTGGGCTCCTGCTATTTGCTATATTGGCACTCTGTGCATAAGACATACTATAAAACATTAGGTCCAATTTTCATAATACCTTTTCTTTTAAGGTATACCCAGAACATTTACCAAAACAGACTGTATGATCACAGATTTAATCTCAACAAATTTCAAAAGATTACATGGAGTATGAATTAAACCAAAAGTCAATTACATAAAGATAAAACATTTCCCAAATGCTTATGGAAAATTTATAACTCTAAATATAAGTTTTATAAAAAGATGGGCTAGCAGCATTTCATGAAACCAAGAAAAAGCAGCTTTGCAGACATTGGACAACAGCAACAAAAGACTGATCCCTGAGGGAGAGAAGGCTTAACAAGATGACCCTACAACTGTCCTGCCTCTGTATGTTTAAGTGCTCTGGATCACATTGCAAAAGGTGAAGCACAAGCAAAGCAGAGGAGTATTTCTGAGTTGAGAAGACAAAAATTGAAGTTGAGTGAGAGACTGAAATGGCTTGAGTTTTTAAGAGCAGAGTATCATCAAAGAAAAAAGAATGCAGAGGGAAAAAAGTTCCAGAACTCTACACCCAGATCTTTTGTTTCCACTGCTAAACATGACACTTAACAATTCCCAAAACTATCGATAGCATGAGAGCCTTCACTGAGAACTCCATTCACTAGAGAGCCCAAATTATACCTTAAATATTTAAGTTATGGCTAAAGGCTAAACTATCCCAACAGTAAAATCTACCAACACTTGCCCAAAGCAAACCTCAATAGTATGAAGCTGAATAGCAAGTAACTACCTGACAGAACAAAGTCCAAATTTGTTAGTTCAGGTCCTCTAAGAAGCAATAAATCAAATTGAGGATTAGATTTATAAGAGACTTCAACACTCAACTTGAGTGTTGAAATAGAGATGAAGCCACAGGAGGCAGAGTCTCAACCTGCAACACAAATCCAAGAAAGTTTAAGATCAAGGTCAGGCTGATACTCTCTCAGTAATCATGCCCTTTTAGGTTCGCTTTGCCAGAATCATCTAGTCATAGTTACAGGGGGTGAGGGAGCGCCAGGAGTCACCAAGCAGACCACCTGAGATCCACACACACCCTTCCTTGTCCTGTTGTGTAGAAGCAACCTGACATCATGGTCAATTACCCTGTGAGTTTGATGACTCCTCAACTGCATGCCCCTAGACACAAGAAACACAGTGCCTAGTGGTAACCATTGTAGCTCAAGGGAAACCTCACTGTAGCTGTTGGCAAGAGTATGCCTCTTGGAGACCTCTAAGCTTACACAGCATAAATGCACAGGGCAGAAAACACAAATACTTCCAATAAGTCATCGCAAGTGTCATAAATGAAGCCACTCCCTTTTGCTAACTCATTTGACTCAGTCCTCCTATTGCAGACACAGAACCACATAGGTCTGGAATAGTGAATACACTGTATCCTGAAAGATAACAGCCAGTGCTTTCAGAATATCCCTCAAAGCTCATACTTTGCCTGGCCTTTAGAAGACCTTTCCAGAATCCCATGAGGCTGGCTGCATATATGAGGTTACAGCATAGTCTGGTAGGTAACAAGTCCAGATCCTACACTTCACCTTCATTGCCATAAAGTGACCAGATACTGGGTAAGCCCTGATGAGTGCTGGCTGAGATTCTGGGTAAGAAAGAGAAATATGTACTACAACTAGGTTCTTCTCCTTATAAGGAAAAACTACTGGCCCTTCCTGGGTCAGAAAACTGAGCAAAGGGTTGGGCTATTTCATTAAGGCCAAAGCCCCCATCTCTTCCTTTTACATTTTTACCTTACTGGCTAGAGATGTTCAGCAGCATCCTTGTTGTTTGTTCATCCTCACATTCTGACCTCCTAGATAAAAAACCCTCAAAATTCAGTGCCAGAAATATGCCGCTCATCATGCCGCATGCTGTTTCTTTTTTTCTTTAAGATTTATTTATTTATGCATACAAGAGCTGGGGTACAGGCCAGAGATGCGAGGGGGTGAGAGAATTTACCAGAGACAGAGCGGGGAACAGAACAGGTAGACTGACTGAAATACACTGCTGAGGGGAGCAATGAGCGAGACAGGAGAGGTCTGCTGCACCATGTGGATTGGCCAGGGATTGTACTCATGCTGCAGAGGCTGCGGATTGCTTCAGAGTGCGGTTCTTAACCCCTTGTGCCACCAGAGAGACCTTACATGCTGTTTCTTAAAATGCCTGAATATATAGTATTTTTCTTCCCTTATCAAGCTACAGCACTTCTCTAGTGAGATTGTCCTGGATTTAACTGTAGCCATCTACCTAGGAGCTAGGAGAGAAGATGGAGGCTTTTCATGAAGAGCATCTACCTATTGCCTTGTCAAGGAGGGGGTCTTTGTAGCACCTTCCACCATAGGGGAAATCCATAGCTTTCCAGAAAGTGCTATACAGCCTTATATGACCACATTGGTAAATTCTTTCAAATTTTTAAGAGGAAAAAACTACCAAATTTACATAACTTTTTTCTACTGAATAGAAAAACATATTTCCTAGCACATTTTATGAGACAAATGTATCTTTGATACCAAAACCTGACTGAGGACGTTACAAAAAAGTAAAAATCATAGATGGAGCTGACATAAAAGTAGGATTGCCAATTTAGACCCAAAGATTCACAGAAATAAGAGATTATCCCCATTATAAAGTTTTGCTGATCACCTCAAGAAGATAAATAAAAGGCACAAGCAAAGCAGAGAGAAGTCTTAAAAAGTGCCAATGGCTTCCCAGGTCCTCTTTTCTTGCATTAGATAAACTATGGGGACAAGCTAGAATGAAATCTTCACTATGACGGGTCACCTCACACAACATAAAACATTTTGGTTCTCTATACTTAGATGATTATGTAACTTATAAGTCATTTTCGTAGAAGCCATCTCCATAAATTCATAGATTCTGGTTTTGTTTACCATAGTTAATTTTAAATCAGTGTCATCCTGTTAAAAATCACTTCATAGATGTGAACTAAACCCTAGTAATTAATATTACTGTATTTACATAATGTCTGCTATCAATGTTTAGAAAACAATTATCCTCAGTTACCTTTCCCCCCCCCAACCCCCCCACAAAATAGCCCCCAGAACACTTCTAAAAGAGCAATTAATGGGAGGCTAGCTATTTAACTCTTTCATGCTAAGTAGCCAATAAATCTTACAAATGTAGATGCCAAAACTAAAATAAATATTACAAACAGAATCTGCAAAGAGGCTAATACATTATGAAGTTAGTTTAACATTTAAAATTAATTAATATAATTCATCATATAACAATAAATGAGAAAAACCAAATGAAAATCCCAACAGATGCAAAATAAGCAATTGACAAATCAACACTCATTAACATCATAAATTATCAGCAAGCTAGAAACAGAAGGAAGCTTACATAACATCATAAGGTTATCTGCTAAAAAAACAAAAACATGTAATATTGATACTTAATCATAAATATGGAAACTTTTCCATTAATACTAACTAATTAGGATTAATGCAGAGATGTTCACTCTCTTACCTTGATTGCACTTATCCTAGCCAAAAGAGGGAAAAAGAGAGAGAGGAGGAAAAGTGCGGGAATAAATCTCAAAACAAAATAAATAAAATTATCCCAGAACACATGACTCTGTATGCAGAAAATGTGAAACCTACAAATAAATTCATCTACATGGTGAACACATTGAGTGATATAGAAACATCCTATCAAAATATGCATTATACATCCTTATACTGGACAAATTGGACAAATTAAAGTATTTAAAATTCATAGTTTCAAAAACATCAAACACATATGAATAAACCAATTATAAGAGCTACAATTTTTCTACAATGAAAATAAAATATTGCTAAGGGAAATTAAGGAAGATTTAAATAAATTGAAGTATAAACAATGTTAATGAGAGGAAGATTCAGTATTTTAAAAATCAATATTTTTAATTTGCTCCAAATTTATCTGTAGATGCAGTCAACATTAAAATTCCAGCAGGTTTTTCTGAGTCAGTTAATAAACTGAATCTAAAATGTTTATACAAATAGAAAGGACCAAGAATAGCTAATACAGTGTTAAGGAAGAATAAGTTGAAAGACTTACACGACCAGCTATCAAGACCCACCAAAATCACAAATTATGACAGGTAGATTTTGCATAGAGAATAATAGGCTAGCGATAAAACAGAGGAGTAAAATTACAGTTATTTTTCTCTAGAAGCAAATGCTTCCTTCTTATCCTAATACTATCTCCAACTCTTGTTCATCCCCTATTCAAATCAAACTATAAACTTTGTGCCTTGGGGAAGAGAGACCAACAAAACTTCATCAAAGGAAGCATGCAAAAGAAAAACTAGTTAATTGATTTTTGTATTTCCATCAACCAAAATCATGGCACCAAATGCAGGGTTGGAAAGATACTTGTTTAGGGCCTCCCTTGTGGCACAAGGGGTTAAGACATAACCTACAGAGCTATCTGCAGCCCCTGCAGCCTGAGTTTGATCCCTGGCCAGGGAGTTACCCACATGGTGCAGCAGACCTCTCCTGACTCGCCTGCTGCTCCCCTCAGCAGTGTACTTCTGTCGATCTGCCTGTTCTGTTCCCCACTCTGTCTCTAGTGAATCCTCTCACCCACCCACCCCCCACCACCTCTGGCCTGTACCCCAGTTCTTGTATGCATAAATAAATAAATCTTTAAAAAAATATACTTGTTTAGCAAATCACCTCCATGCCCTACCTCCTCCAAGCTCATTTTAATGGAAGAAAATTATATCTCAGCACAATTGAGAAGACAATAAATTACAATTGGAGAGAAAAATAAGGGTGTTAATTGTTGGCAACAGTGAAAATAAAGAATTCCCAGGGGAAAAAATGCATGTGGAATAGAGTGCCCTACTTCCACCTGGCTTTCCTGAGAGCACTTTATAGCATTGTTTTAAAAATTACAGCATTAAAAGTCGGGGTAGAAATATCTGCATTGGATAACTAGGCAGATCGATCCTAAAGTACCTCATGATTACTGTGGGGTCACAGGCTCTAACTAATGTTT